GAGGTGCCCTGCGGGAGATTATCAACAAGTCCCTTTCATAGGGACAGTTCCCCGGGGCACTCAAGGAAGCGATGGTTCATCCCCTCCTGAAAAAACCATCTTTGGACCCGGACGAATTGGCCAACTACCGGCCCGTGTCCAATCTACCCTATTTGGGCAAACTCATTGAGAGGGCGGTGGCGATACAGCTACAGGGCTTCCTGGAGGATGCTTCAGTCCTAGATCCTTTCCAGTCCGGCTTTCGCCCGGGTCATGGGACGGAGACAGTGTTGGTCGCCCTGACTGACGACCTCCGAAGGCATCTGGATCGAGGCAGTGTGGTGGCACTGTTGTTGCTCGATCTGTTGGCTACATTTGATACGGTCGACCACCAGTTGCTGACCCACTGCCTTGCCAACGTGGGGATTCAGGGGCTTGCCCTTTAATGGTTTGCCTCTTTTCTTCAGGGTTGAGGACAAAGGGTAGCGATTGGGGATCAGCGGTCCCGGAGGCACCCTCTTGATTGTGGGGTGCCTCAGGGGGCAGTGCTGTCCCGTTGTTCAACATTTACATGCACCCCCTTGCCCAGATTGCCCGGAGGTATGGGCTTGGGTGTCATCAATATGCAGATGACACTCCGCTCTATCTGCTGCTGGGCAGCCGGTCGGACTCCGACCCAGATGACCTTCATCGGGCATTGCAAGCTGTGGCTGGATGGCTCAGACTGAGTTGGCTGAAACTAAACCCGGCAAAGACGGAGGTCCTGGGTCTAGGTCAGGTCTGGGTTGGGACTCCCTCTCCTGATCTTCGATGGGGCGCCTCTGGTGCCAGCGTCGAGGGTTAGGAGTTTGGGTGTGCTCCTGGACTCCTCCTAACGATGGAGGCCCAGGTAGTAGCCACTGCCAAGTCGGCCTTTTATCATCTTCGGCTGGCTCGGCAGCTGGTTCCCTTCCTTGACTGCGATGACCTGGCCACAGTGATCTATGTGACGGTCACCTCGAGGTTGGACTACTGTAACGCTGTCTACTTGGGGCTGCCTTTGTCACAAGTCCAGAAGCTGCAGCTAGTGCAGAATGTGGCAGCCAGGCTGCTGATGGGTCTCTCTAGGCGAGACCATATCCGGCCTGTGTTGAAGGCGCTGCACTGGTTGCCAATAGTGTACTGGATTCGCTTCAAAGTGCTGGTTCTTACCTTTAAAGCCCTCTATGGCCAGGGTCCGGCATACCTGAGGGACTGCCTTTCCCCATATGTTCCCCCAAGGGCACTACGGTTGGGGGCCCAACATCTTTTGGTTATCCCAGGCCCCAGGGACGTCAAACTCGCTGTGACCAGGGCCAGGGCATTTTCGGTGGCAGCTCCTACCTGGTGGAATGAGCTCCCGGAGGAGATTGCAGAGAGTAACCAAACTCCGGAGGAGATTGCAGAGAGTAACCAAACTCAGGGGTCCCAGAAAGCAGGTTTACCAAAGTCTAGTCTAGGGTCAAGGAGTTCCATATGTATGTTCTCCATATGTATTAACCCTGGTTACATTATCATTGCTAAGTACAGTCTTCTTGGTGGCCTCTCAGACTGGACAAAGCTGTGGTGTTAAGTGAGCAACATTAACCATGACTGATAACATCTGTTCATTGGAGGAAACCAGTTTGGTGTAGTGGTTAGGAGCACAGACTCTAATCTTGGAGAACCAGGTTTGATTCTCCACTCTTCTCTCTCAAGAGCAGTCCTCAAAAGAGCTCTATCAGCTCCACCTACCTCACAGGGTATCTGTTGTGAGGAGGGGAAGGGAAAGTGATTGTAAGCCACTCTGGGACTCCTTTGGGTAGTAAAGGGCAGGGTATAAATCCAATCTCCTCCTCCCCCCTTTGCCGACTATGGGATGGTGAGAATGTGGAACCTTCCGGACACCTGTGCACTGACTTTTTATGCAAGCCAAACAGCGCAGGGCCTGTTTTTATCTTGTTTTCCTAATGGCTTAGTCCAGTTTACCCTTGACTGTGTAAGCTTCTGTTATGGACCTAAGCCGATTGCTGGGCATTTTCCTGTGGCTGCTGTTACCCTGTGGTAAGGATCAGATGTGATTCTTGAAACCGGGAAGGGGTTTTGAGATGTTTTGTTTAGTTCACTTTCTCTGATGTGGGAGTTTAAAGGTTGTTCTTAAGATATTGCTGAATTTCGGATTCAATTTCTTCAAAAGACTTTTGATCAATTAGAAGCGCTTTCTTAAGGCCCCAGTGTGGCCTGTCGACCCTTGCATCTGAGTATTGCAACTCACATTCTAACCATGCATAGTGACACCAGATTCTCTGTCCAATGATGGAGTGAGAAATACAGTCCAGTAGGTTTTTTGAGACTAAGATATAATCTATTCTTGTAAAAACATTATGGATAGTGGAGTAGTATGTTTAATCCCATTTCTTTGGATGCTGGTGATGCCAAATGTCCAACAGGTAAGATTTGGATAATAGATTTTTCAGATTTGATTTATTGACTATCTTGATTTTATCAAGCCTTTTTGGTGAAGAGTGATCTAAGAAGAGATTGGATTTATACCCCACCCTTCACTACCTGAAGGAGTCTCAGAGCGACTTACAATCTCTT